GAGATTGCTATTCAGATGGTAAACGTTTCATCGAAAGTTGAGAGGACATTTTCACCGCTACCCATCCAGAACACGTTACGCCGTACACTACGGTCAACATGGTCGTAAAAACAGATACTTGTCCGACGGCAATAAGTGTTTTCTCGTGAATGTAACTAATATTCAATGTGAAAGTATGCCTTCAAATTTAACGCGACACCAATATATGGTCGATCGGCCATTTGTAAATTAGTATCAACGTGAAACGCCAGGAAAGATACTGACCTTCTTTGATCAATCTCCTCGACCAAGGGCATTAAACGACTTTTGCGATTTTCTGCATTCTCTAGCTGTGGGTTGACAATTAGCGCCCTGGTATACATTTGATCAGCGACCAAAAGGAGGCCATCGTCGGAGCCGATAGGTGACTCAGATAACCGTATGAGTGAGCGAGAGTTTGCTTTATCCGTACGCTCAACAAGAACCTCACGTTTAAGGCGCCAAGATCCCTCCAGGGCTTCACCTAATGCAACCAAAACATCCGTGTTGTCAGGATCGAGACGGAAAGCATGCTCCAGTAGCTTTTGGCTTTTGATGTATCTTCGGTTTCTTTGATGCACCATTGCAGCATTAAAGGCTTGAATAGCCTCCGCTTCTTCAGCTGAGTTGATAGTTATATGTGAAGTGCAAATTACTAGATGTTTTAGATGCCGAACGAAAATGAGGAAATGAGTTTGGTATCCCATAGTTTCCGCGGTGGATTCGAACGACTTCATGTATCAAACGACGATAGAAACTTCTACGTGTGTCTTCCGATAGCTTTGAGGTACTTGATGGATCATATTTATTCTGGTCTTCAATGCTTTGGAAATACTGAACCAGATAGAAAAGCGTGCTAGATTCAACAATTTCACGCCAATGGAGATTATTACACAGCTCTTTTGTTCTAAAAATAGTGGATCGCCAAAAGGAAGGTGGGAGTAACAAGGCAACCAAAAAACAGATCAACGGGTAAGGGAATTTCGACATTGGACGCCCGTGCAAAAATAACATCGTCCATCCGCTAAAATTTCACATGTAGCGCGTCCAATTTGTGACGCGTGAAATTGCACTATGGCAACGATCGGGACAGGACATCAGGTCAAGTCGGATAGACAAAACTTGCGGTTGTTATCAATGTGTCCAGTTCCTTGCACTTGCGTGCTCTGATGCGATCGCACTGTGCTTCGACTGCAGGAGAAGTTCTTAATCGTTCACTTCGGAATTCTGGGTGACAGGCAGATTTGTAGTGAGTATGATTGTACGAAGAGAAGGAGCAATCCACGAGGACGTTTTCCGTTCATATTTTCTTCACAGTCAACTCTGACTCCAACTGTGATACTTCTTTGTTTTACTTCTGCTTGTTTTACTGAGCACGGTTTACCGCTCAGGTGTATACATAAGCTGGGTCTTGTTCAAACCCACGCAACACGTGTGACACGCTTTCGCTTTGCTACTGCATTTCTTGCTTGCATTGTTTAGCGTCACCTCGGCACGTTTCGGTACAATCGAGTACCACGATTGGTCAATAAACGTCTACGACTCACACGAGTGTTTTTGTCTACCTCGAGCAAAGAGACACTAGGAGGTCGCGCGCAATTTGAGACTCGTAAGAACACTTACCGGCAGGCNCGGCAGGCCTTCAACACCGGTCAGCTTCATGTTGATGTGCAAATGAAATTTTGGAACGTTCATCCGGTAATAGCAGTAGGCTCCAGTTGACAACGGTTCATCCCTCAACCGGTTTGTACGCGAGAAATTCAAGCCAGGACGCTCTACCGGTGTTTAATGTATGTTTTAATTCAAGTCTAGAAGAACCCTGGAGTTTTATTTTATAAAAGTTAGAAAATAAGTGCTATGTGTTAGAGAGTAGAAGGATGATACGGAAAAGGAAAATCAAAAAAGGGGTAAGATAATTTTCACATGGGGACTCTGCGGATGGCCAATGGTTCATCTTGAGCTGTTCACTCCAAATCAGGGAATACAGTTAGCCAACAGTCATCCAGTTTGTGCTTGAAGCTTATTACATTTGTTGTTGTGGTCACTGCTTCTGGGAGTTTGTTCCAGCTGTTCACCACACGTTTGTTAGAAACTGTGCTCGAACTTCCAGTCTGGAACGCTCTTTTGCCAATTAAAAAAAGTGTCCATGTAATGCCACGTTGTCACTGGCAATGAACAGTGGAGCACCCGTATTCGTTATGCCTTTTATGCTCTTAAAGGCTTCGATCAACTTACTCCTAAGGCGTCTCCTCGGGGAGAATAGGTTCAGCATAGACAAACGAGCTGGGTAGTCTTGTCCCCTAAGATGGAGGAAGCACCTCGTCAACCTACGTTGCATTTCCTCTAGGACCTTCTTGTCCCGCTCCAGATATGACGACCACGCTTGGATGTAGTATTCCAAGTGTGGTCTCACATAAACTTCATATAATGATACCAACACCTCTGGATCCCGCGAGACAACTGTGCTCAGCAATTGGTACAGAGCGTTGTTCGCCTTACGTGCCGCCTGTAAGCACAACTTCTCTGATCTGAAACTACCGGTGACCTGAATTCCTAGGTCCCTCATGAGAGGTTATGAGAGGTCAGGTTGCATAGAACTTTATGTGGCTACAGGCCATTCAAGCGTCCAGAGTTCCTTCGAGGGTATGCTCTCGAGTTTGCGTCCACCTCTGCGACTGATCGGTTTCTCTTCCTATCTGCAAACAGAGAAAGAGAGACTTTACTTCTCGCCGTGTCGGCGACAGACTGTTTATTGTAAAGGCGTTCCAAAGTACACAAAAGCAATTAATGCTCCCAACATTCTACCTGAAAACTGAAGGGAAAACCGCTAAGCATCTGACTTCCAAAGCTTTTTTAAGCCATGGACGTTTCCCTGCTAACACACTTGGGCTATTTTTGATCGAAAAACGCATATTTAGTCGCATTTTATTTTTCTGCTGTTAAACTATCAAAACTAACGTTATTCGAAATTTGCGATATTTCCCAAACATTTTCTATCAATATATTTTACCCCTGTCCTCCGTAAATTGCTGTACAGTACGTTGATTGTTTTACTGTTTGCGTGTCGTTTATTCTTTGGTTATTCGAATATCGCCCCGATTTCGGTATGCGTTGTACCTGAAGTTAGCTCGTGGGACAAGTAGGCAAAGCATTTACATGCATTTACGTGCTGACAGTTAGAAGGAATGTCAGACTTTAACCCCGGAACTACCGTATTGTGATTCGGGGCATGCAGAACAAGAACTAAAAAGTAAATTCATAATTTTAACCAGAATAAATTCATTTTCATTCGTTTTGAATCGCAGATGAACACATTTTGCTCAATTGTTCGCAACCTGGGGCTGCTAGCGAAGAGTTGATGCATTCAGATTGTTTCGTCAATGTTTCGTCAATGGAAAACGACATTGATAATTGAGGTTAAAATTGTATTGCATCCAGTTCATCTTGTTTTATCACAGGAACAGATGTGATTGAGACATCCGCTCTATCAGTGGTCACAATTTGTCAGACTGTTGCTTTGGAAGCACAGTTATCGGCTTCAGCAGTAAACATCATAATAATAATAATAATGGTATATTTCACGAAGCCCGTGAAGCATGCGAGTGC